AATTTAAAAGACCACTTCCGTACAAGGGATGGTTTCTTTGGTAATATTTATCAAACATTTAAGAAATGATATCATCCTAAGGAAACTCTTTCAGAAAACAGAGAAGAAAGCCCTTTCCAATACATTTTATGATATTAAAGTTAATAAAAATAGTACAAGAAAAATCCCTACAAATCAATCTCTCATAAACAAAGATTATACATTCTTAAAAATAAAATATTAACACATTAAATCTATAATACTATGATTCTCCTTAGAGATGCAGAAAAGTCAGTGGACAAAACTCAACATGCGTTCATAAAAAAGCACTTAACTATTAGGAACAGAAAGTACTTCCTCAATTAGATAAAGAAATTCTATAATATATCTACAATTAACACCCTATTTAATGGGGGAATTATGCCATATATTTCCCCTACAATCAGGAACAATGCAAAGATGTCCATTCTTACCACTTCTATTCAACACTTTACTGTAGGTCTTAGCTAAGACAAAGAAAAAGGCACAAAGACTGGGGGAAAAAACAAAGAAAAAAACATCCTTATAAGCAGATGACATGACATGTCTGTAGAAAATCCCAAGAATCTACAGAGTTTAAGAACCAAAAAGTGAAGTTAGCAAGAGTATCGGGGAAAAGATCAATATACAGAAACCAAATACGCTCCCATATCCTAGGAACAAAAAATTGGAAAATAAAATTTTAAAATAGTAACATTTGTAATAGCACTAACACGTATAATCTACTAAGGAACGAATCTAAAAAGAGACATGCTGTACATTGCCACTAAAAACTACAAAACACAGCAGAGAAACATAATGGCCAGTAAGACTCCTGAAGTTTTCTAACCTGCTCCCTCATTCTTGACAAAAACTTTCCTTTGCTATTTCATAGAGATGTTCCACCCAACCACAAGTCAGCTGCTTGTCTCTTGGCCTCAAGTCCCCATCTTCCTTCAGCTCTCTGTGAAATCAACTCTTCCTTTTTTTTTTTTTTTGAGTTGGAGTCTCACTCTGTCGCCCAGACTGGAGTGCAGTGGCCGCTCCCGGCCACCGCAGCCTCAACCTGCTGGGCTCCAGCGATCCTTCCGCCTCAGCCTTCCAAGTAGCTGGAATTACAGGCGTGCACTACCACGCCCGGCTGATTTTTTGATTTACTGTAGAGATGAGGTCTCACTGCCCAGGTGGGTCTCGAACCCGTGGGCTCAGGCAATCCACTCACCTCAGCCTCCCAAAGGCGCAGGACTACAGGCTGAGCCACCGAGCCCGGCTAACTCTTCCTTTTTCTTGATGGTTAGCCCTCTTCTGACACTGTCTTTAAATACACTCATACCGTGCTTACTGTGAACCAGGAACACTTAACTACTTTACAAATATTAACCCAATAATACCCTCGGAGATAGGTACTCTAATTGGCCCTACTTTACAGATTAGACAACCATGTGCCAAGGTTCCCAAGCTAGGAGGGTGGTCTAGCTCAGCGTGACCACACAACCCTGACCACATGCGTTTGGTAAGAGAGTAGTCTTCCACACGGGGCATGTGAACACTCTTTGGAAGGACACAAAACAGCTGGCTTACCAGAAGAAAAAAACAATGTATTGTCTGCTTATGTCATACCACCCATTAATTTCTAATTTTGGTGTACGCTTTAAAATGACATGTTAGTAACAGAACACTCAAAAGCTTATCACGCACTGTGCTAGCTTCCCAGGGCTGCTAGAACGCAGTAGCACAAAGAGCAGGAATGTGTTCTCTCATGTTCTGAAGACAAAGTCTGAAATCAAGATATCAGCAGGGCCATGCTCTCTCAAAGGTGCTGGCAGAGACTCTTGCCCCATGCTGTTCTCTTAGGCGTCTGGCCTCACCAGCAATCTTTGGTGTTATGTGGCCTGCAGATGCTTAACTCTGGCATCTGTGTCTTCACGTGATGTTCTTCCCCGTGCTGCCTCTTCTTACAAGGACACCAGTCATACAAGATTGGGGTCCACCATACTCCAGTATGGCTTCACCTTAAAGAATTACATTTACAAAGGCCACATCCTGAGGTGATCTTCTGGGATGTAGGTAGATTTAAAATCTTTTAAGTCTCTTTGTACATCCTGGGCCAAGGACAGTATATTGATAGGATACAAAACTGAATTGTGAGCTATGAAACCCACATTTCCCTACATGCCTGTTTGAACAAATATGTTCATAAAATTCAATCATGACTTGAAAAAGGACTGACTATACAATCCTACAAAGGTTACTCAAACTTCTAAGTTTAATGTGATATCCAGCGTAATATCTAATGTCCTTAAGACTTTAAAGAAAGAATAAAGGATTGACCTGAGAAATTGTAAAAAACTTAAAAAGTAGCAGATGCTGGTTCATGTAGCTACTTGTTATGCTTAATTTACCCTCTGGCTTCCCCCTTTTTAAAACATCTGTTCATTTTATCCCAGCAGGGTGTGAAAGATGCACCTAGTTACATCCTTCCCCCTGGCAGGTTTGAAGCAGGGCTGGCGAGATGGCCAACTGTTCTGAATTGGGACCCAGCATCTGCCGAGACTGACCTTCTTGCCTGGTCTTGAGAGGTGACCCAACGGCAGCAGAGACTGGGAGCCATGCCAGCTCTAAGCCTATCATGGATCAGCCGTTCCCATGTCATTACAGGAAGCAATTTTAAAGGTGCCATTCTGAAACCCAGTTAACATTGTCCTACTCATACGAAATGCTAGGTTAGGGTCAAAGATAGCCCCAACACTACTGTTCCAGTCGGCTCACTTATTCTCCTCTAGCCTGACGCCCTTGCCACGGCCTGGGATTCTACGAGTCTCACTGCTCCTCCTGTGTCCCAGGGATACTGCCGAACAGGTGTCTGCATGCACGTTGGGGTCCCGGCAGCCTTTTGCACTGGCTTCTCTCCCCGGACATGACACAGTCAAGGGCCACTGTGCTGCAGTGCTCTGCTGCCACTCCACTCATGGCTGGGTCACGCTCTGTCTTGGGGTGTGTGTCATTTCACAGCCACCCACTGTTGGAGGGGTGTGAGCTGTTCCCACTCATGGAATAGTAACACATTCGCGGCCTTGGACTGAGTTTACATCATTCCACATTCTGTTCCTGAGGCCCGCCGACATGAACTTACCTCGTCATGGAAGACTATCTTTTCGAGTTTATAATCAGAACAAAAATACAAAGTGCATGTGGAATGCTTGTCAGAGTGGAGGCTGAGGCAAATCCTGGATTTGCAACTTTCAAGTGTCTTGTGAAAAAGGTGACAATTTAGAAAAAGACCATTTCACTTGTGCCTAACGACAGAAGTTTGCGGCAACCGGCTCCAGAGGTTATTTTCACCTGCTCTCAGTATCAGGAGAGTGAAAAACTTGCAGGTCGCGAAGATGCTAACAAGCACACTTGCGTAACCACTTGTGCACGAGCATCCGCGTGGAAACACTCCCCGCTCGCTCGGGTACGTGCCTAGCAGTAAGCCTGCCGAGTCACACGGCTCCCTGCTAAGCATCTGGAGGAACAGCCCGGTTCTTCCCAAGGCAGCTGGGCTGTTCAACATCCCAAGCAGCCGTGCAGGGACACCAAAGCCTCCCTGGGCTCACTCGCGTGTGCCACTGTCCTTTTTGATGACGGCCATCAAGCAGGTGTATCTCACTGTGGTTTACCAGGGTCAGCACCTTTCATGCCACTCACTTTGAACCACGCAGTAACAGCTGTCCATCACAGGGCAAAACAGAACACTGTTGCTTCAAGAATAGAGTTCCTTGGTATCTGTGTATGTCAGACATACTTGGAAAGCCAAGTATCATTTCCATTAAGACACTGGCAGTAAGACTCATAACATGTTATTTCCAATGCTTATTAGGCTTTCTACTACTCCTAACAGCTACAGCAGAAGCTTCTATACCTGGAGTCTAAAAAAAAAAATTAAGGGCTCTGTCAATGATAACCCATTTAGAATTAATTTTGATTATCTGAAGCACACAACTCATTGTGTAAGACGTGGAGAAAGACTGAAAGTATAATTTGTCTGGTTGTGGTATGAAGGTGTCCAGTTTTAAATACAGACAGGGAAGAACGAATCAAACTGGATCGTTAGAATGCCATGCAAGTGATCTCACTGGTAACTTATTAGTCCAGCTGAGTTATATCTTTGTTACATAACAAGTGACTTAAAGCTTTAATGTGTGGCCTGGCGTGGTGGTTCAAGCCTGTAATCCCAGCACTTTGGGAGGCTGAGGCTAGAGGACTGCCTGAGCTCAGGGATTCGAGACCAGCCTGGACAACTTGGCGAGACCTCATCTCTACAATAAATCAAAAGAAAAATTAGCCAGGTGGGGTAGTGTGCACTTGTTGTTCCAGCTACTTGTAAGGTCGAAGCTGCGGTGGCTGTGAGCGTGCCACTGCACTCCAGTCTGGGCGACAGAGTGAGACTCCAACTCAAAGATAAATAAATAAATAAACAGATAAATAAGTAAAGCTTTAATGTGTGAAAGTGTAATGTATGTTAAAACTTTTTCTCCATCACTGTTTGGAGTTGAGAGCTAAAATTGAGAAATTAATCAATCTACTATGATTCAGAACTCATTACTAAGCTAAAGGAGCACTGAAAAGCTGAGTCCCATCACTCATCCCCTAAGGTCCTCTAAAAATCTGTTATTAGGTCAAATATGGTCTTTTACCACATAAATATCTATTTACAGGGTAACTACATCTTTCAACAGAAGCAAATATTTTAAAAAGAAATAAAAGCATGTGACTGTTTTCAAATTTTCATTTACTCTAACAAAACGGTGGTGACTCTTCTGCAGAGTAGCAGCTGCTAATTCTTCAGTGACGACAGTGCCCCCTTTGATGGTTCAGATGTGGTTAAACCACGACAGAAGATTCTCTTTTTTGGTACATTTCTCAGCTTCCTTAAATTCAAGAGTACTATATCGTGCATGAGTTTTAAGCAATGATGAAGTGCGTATCTGGTTGTTAAGGACTTGAAGAGACAGTCTTACCTGTGTCCATGCTTTGATTCAACTGCTGATCACTTGTTTCTCCATCTTCACTGATATATCCAGGAGGTGGTGTTTCTACAAAAGTTGAGAACAAATCAAGCAGAGGCGCAGTGCCTTCTCGCCGCCTTTCCCCCACCAGCAAATCATTTCAAGGAACCAGTAAGAACGCCAGGCAACATTACCATGGAGAGCAGTGCTAGGCCCCCAAGAGTTCAGGAGCCAGGCTCTCATCCAAATCTTACAGGTACATTCTTAAACCCTACTTTAATACAACTCAGACCTCTGGACATATTTCCTTAGACGTCATTTACGGATCTGGCTCATTCTCACATGTACACATTCTGGGGCAAGAGCTAAAAATACAACTTCAAAGATGTTTCAGGTTTGACTCAGTCAGCTTCAAAGACAGAAGGATCTACAATGGTTTTTTTGTTTAAACTAATGAACAATATTTATGGGTACTCAGAAAATTAAGGACACATATACACAAGCTTTTTGGATTACAAAAGTAATACAGTCTTACACCTTACGCTAAATTCTACAGGGCAAAATATAGTAATATGGTTCAGGACTGCTCTAACCTGAATTCTACCTAAAAACTGTGATCCTCTGGGGATTTCGAACTGGAAAATTCTAAGAGAAAATTCCATTCAAATATAGACTATTGCACAAATCAGAAGTAAAATACTCCCTGAAAATAAATATTAGGACTCTAATATATCATTTCCAACACATTTTCTGAATAACATGCTATGTTCAGGAGACATCTGAACAGCTGAACAAGCCTCGTAAAATAAAATCATGTACACAATTTCATCAGCCATAATTTCAAGAAGGAAAAATCAGTTCAAAAGACTTTCAACAGTTGAGCATTTACACTGCCAAACAGTCTTAAGCAGCTCCAGACAGTGCAGACATAAAGCTAAAAAGAAATCCATAAAGACCAAAACAGGGAGAGGGAGATGTAGGTTAGGGTCTCTTTCATTAACCGTTCACAATCTCTCTCCAACAAGCTCACCATACATGTCAGCTTCTTAAGCATGGAACTTTTCATGTAACTGTCAGTATCCCCATGTTTTTAATACCAAAATTCGAAGAATAAAATATCTTTACAAACTCAAACAATAAGGAACACAAAACTAAGAATAAGCCATATCATCATACATGACTTTGAAGATGAAAGCTGACAAAGCTAAGTGTTGCGGCTTAATCACCAAGGTCTTAAAGGCCTGAACAGAAAGAAAGAACTTAAAATACCTTCCCCCAACTGCATTTTTAACTTTTCTCCATTAATATTTATCTACAAGATAATAAATAATAAAGCTATTCGCATCTTAGAGGAAATGTTGTGTTTCTTTTGAAGTGGGGTTAAAAAGTGAGCCCTCCAATGCTGCTGTCCCTTGGAGTCGTATAAAGCCCCGCTGTCCAGAAAAGCAGATGGGTATAATCCAAGTCTGATGTTTTGCTTTATAAAACACCCAAACCTAAGTAAGTAAAGGAATAAAAAAGAAAGGAAAAATAAGGCCACACATACTCGCAAGTAGAAGCCACTCAACATTCTGATTAACTCCCTGGAAATAAACATTAGGATTCTAAGATACCATTTCCAACACATTTTCTGAAGACTCTGTTATGTACAGGAGGCATCTGAAGAGCTGAATCCCAGCATCTGCCCTACGAAGCTGTGCGCCACACCTGAGATTCCCTGTCTTGCTGGATGGCTGGCAACTCCCACACCAGACAGAGCCTTCCAGAGCCTTGTGTCCCCACAGTGTAAGCACACGTGCCACACACACACACACATACACATTCTACTCCGCTCCAAGGCACGTTCATGAAAGCAGGCCCAAACTCTCCCCGGGCAAGTGCCCTGCTGCACAGCCCGTACCCCTAGCCCGAGCCCATCACACTGCTGCCCTGCCCTCCCCCGTTTCCTCCCGACAGTTCAGGAAGTTCCTATTTCCTAGCAACCCAAAAAAGCAGCTTTCAGTCCTCTTTTGGAATAAAGCAGTAATCAAAGAAATGTACATCAAAACAATGAGAAACCAGTTCCCATCTATAAAACTAGCTATTAAAAAAAATACTTCTTCCTTTTTTAATATTTTAAAAATTGTCTTAGTGAACAAGCATTATTTCCATGATGGGATACATTAAAGAAAAAAATTGTTGAACTGTACTTGAAGTTTTTAATTAAGTTTCTGCCATATGTTTTGTGTACAGAAGAAAAGAAAAAGTGGAACAGAAAAGCATCTAAAAAGGAAAAAAAAACTCCAGACACTAAAAACCCGGCATAAAGTGAAATCCTCACCCTCACTGGATCTCTTGTTCAACCCAACAAAAGGGAAATACACACAAATAACAAAACAGCAGTTGTCCTAAAATTGTTTAAAAGGGTAGGTGCCACGTCACGGACTATTGCTGGGCCAAACGCAGCAGAACGTGAGCTGGACCCATGCAGCTGAATCCGCTGTCTGTCAGGCGGTACTGAGGTGCAGGCAAGTGTGAGGACAGCCGTCTGTGGGCTTCCGTGTGGCGTGAGTGGCTGCACCCACAGGGCCGAACTTGCCCTCTCTTGCCGAGGGACCGCATTTCTCTGGACCCCTACCAGATTCCCAACACTGGCTGTGGGCCGACTTGCAGTGCGTGCATTTCGGGAACACTCTTCCTCCCCGTTTGTTCTGTACTCTCCTAGCTGCAACAACTAAGACCCATTTAGTGAGATCTTCTCTGCTTCTCTTGATCCTTTGATTAAAGTCACGGCAGAAGAAAATGAAATAGCAAGTCAGACTTCCCCAGACGAAACTGCTTAATGTACTAGGCTTATATAGTTCATAAGACATCACCCAACAAGTCAGACTTTCCCATTCAAAACCCAGAAGCGTGTTTTAAATGGTGAGACCGCAACCTGCTGGGAGAACGGGGACCACGTACCTGGGATGTAGTTGCTCTGCGGCTCGATGCCTGCCGGGAAGTTGGTGTTCTCCGGAATGGAGTGCGTGTAGTCGTCCAGCGGCGGCAGCTCCGTGAGGATCTCCGTGTGCCGTGGCACGAGCACCGGAGGCAGCACTGCAAAGGTCAGAAAACCCACATCAACGGCCAAGGGCACAGGGGGAGGGGCCCCTTTGGAGTTTTCACCAAGAAGCAGGAGCACATGGCTTCATCTTTACTACTGAAAGCCACATGGCCCTGGCAACAATTATCCCACCATAAAGCTCCTCAATCCCCACTGGAAAAGTGGACAAGAGATGGTCTTCAATCGTAAAACCCGATTTAGGAAATTTTCCAAAAATATCGCTATATTAAAAAAACTGTTTCAAGTAGACAGTGAACAAGCAAAAGGTCTTGCTAGGAGCTTTCCTGAACTGCTTACATACACTCATGTCATCAAAGTTATAAAAACACTGAGAGCAAACACTTGGCGCCAAATCCCCGCAGCAGGGGCAAGGTTGTGGGTGGGGCAGAGCCCAGCACCTGGGGGCGGGGGGGTGTGTCCTGGACACCACCAAGATGACCAGCCCGCTGTGCCAAGAAGCAGACGGAGCTTTCCCCTAAGGTATGTCATTCTGTCAAAAAAACCTCAGAAACAAAAAGCACTGGAAACCACCACCAGATAATATGCTAAGTTATTCGAATTTTACAGTCCAACTTCTCTGGGTCCCCAAAGTACCTAAATATGCGCAAGTTCAGGTATTTAATCTGAAGCCAGGAACAGCCTTGCCATCTCCCTACCTGGAGTCTCAACTCTCTGGTAGTGGTAAGGGTTTACACACACTTCATCCTTTTTAAGATTAAAAGCGTATTCGCAGTTTTCAATCGCCTTGAGTTCATGATGGCTGTGGAGATCAGGCCAGCGCCACAGTCGGCAGTATATGACATGTGGCAGTCCTTTCCTATGGGACACCTGAAGACGGCCATCAAGAGACCTAGTGGGAAGCAAGGGGAGAAGAGACACGCGAATTAAAAACACAGGTAGAGTCAAGTGGGTCAAGGCATACAACAAGCGCACAAAGAAAACACGGGAGCCACTTAGTTAGTTTTAGTGAGAGTCAGAAGGAAACTGTGTTCTCTAAGGGACCTGAGGAAAAGGACGCAGCAGCCCTAGCAGACGTGTCTCTGAAACGTGCCACATACATGACTCAGCTGCCAATGCAAGGCTAACTACTTGGGAAAGCTGACTTTAAAAAAAGGGCATCACACAGCTGTACTGGAAAAACTTTGTGTCAGCTTCCTTGTTGAGTCAACCGAGCTCACTGTAGTGTTGCTTCTAAGGGCAGGAATCTGCAGGGGACTGAACAGCCAAAAAGGAACTAGTGTGAGAATGGCAAGTACCAACGATGACGTGAAGGAACTCACTTGGACTAATGGGACTCATTACCCAGTTACGGCTGTTTTAAGAACTAGGGTGTGTTTGCAAAGTCCACAAATAAGTGCAGATGGAGATGAACATGATGAGATGAAATGGACAAACGCCACAGACTCAAAAAAGAGAATGAGGTCATAAAAAAGGGAACATGAAAACAAGTTAGCCTACAGTTAACTGTGACATAAGAGGTTCATTAAATAACTATTTATTAGTATAAAGATGAGATTTTGATAACAAGAAATCTAGTGGAACTGGTCATGTGTCTACTTAAAAATTAGGCCAACAACAGACTATAGTCTAATCTCAAACTAAAATGAATATATACTCATCAAAGTTCTTATTCTTTAGGGGATGCATAAATTTAAAGAAGATTCGAAACTAGAAGTGCATTAATCAAAACATCAGCTGAACAGTTCGTATATGTTTAATCCTGATGAGCAGGCATTTTTAAATGCTATGCCTTAGTTTACATTAAGGAAACATCCTAGGCAAAATTAGACTAAGCAACCCAGTAGAGGTTCTTAAGACCAGCCCCCCTCCCACAAGATCCTAGGAGGCGACAGAGGGCAGCATATTCACCTGGTTTGTTCAGAGAAGCTGTAAAGGCCTGTAGTATCCCACTGATCTATCGTATTTGGTGTACTCAGTCCCCAAATTTCAGAGCAAGTGCTGTGCATAAATTGAAAAACAAAAAATTGATGTGAACATGGAAGCATGGTTATTCAGAATACCATGATGTCAACATGGAGAAATGTACAGAACACTTCCTTCACCCAGAAAATGCACCCGGCTCCACGTCCCAGCGTCGGTGCTGGCTGCCGTATTTTCTATATGAAGGAAGCCAATAAAATGGAACATGTGACTCCGGAGAAATCATGATTATGTTTTCCAAATGTGAACGCCAACGCTCTCCAGCGCAGGGAGCCATCCCTTGAACGCCCTTTCCAACTTCCCCTGCTCGAAACCGAAGACTTCAAGCCCATGCCACGAGCCACACTCACAGCGCTTCATTTTATAATCGGGTTTAAAAAACAACCAAACACAGACATCAACTGACATTTTTAATATAGGACAAACCTCAATTAAAATAGAAATATATCCACTGTGAAGATTTTCAGGCTATTTGGTCCTGATACTCATATTTTCCGTTTTACTGAAAATTACCTTGCTCTCATCACCAGAACGGACAAAGAAGTAGCTTCCGAGGTCCTCCTCACACAGCCAACACTTGGACACCCCCTCCCACGCGGCGGCCCAGATGTCACCCACCCATTCTCCTGCCAGCAGGAGGGAAAAAGAGGGCCCAGCACATCTGGAACAGGCCTTCTGCCCTCCAGCTCACACAGGCACTCATCTGTGCTTTCTAAAGTAGTCTCTGAAAATTCCTTTTCTCACATATTGTAAAACCATGGACACTTGGGAAGAGAAAGGGATGGTTCAGAACAACTTCTGAAACTAAATCAAACAACTGATTCCACCCTAAACCTGCACCTTGTCAGTAAGCTAGCTGGATCAACCTCTCAAAGGGCAGCGTGGGAGATGCTGATTTCTGCAACAGGCAACACAACCACCTGCAGTGACTGGACGTCGCAGGTCCTCCCTGCCCTCATGTCTTCCCCATGATAAGTCCCCCCAGCCCTCAGGTCCTCCCACCCCTCAGATCCTTCCCACCACAGGTCCTCAAAGCCCTCAGGTCCTCCCGCCCTCGGTCCTCAGTCCTCAAGTCCTCTCGGCCCTGGGTCTTTGTGCCCTGGGCTGCAGGGAATGGCCGGGCCCATGCTGGGGCTACAGCAACAGCAACTCAACAGTCAAAGATAAAACAAGATAAATGTTCGGTGTTTTTCAGTACCATCCTGAGCATTTTACAGATATGTTTGCTTTTTCAGGCTGCAAAATTTACCAGAGTAAAAAGTTCAAAAAAGCCAAGTAATTCAAGGATCATTTAGACCTCCCTCCCGATATACTGATTTTAAAACCATGACAGAACTAGTTCCTTTATTAAAAGACGTATATCGAATATCTGTTGGAAACAGCACTCTGCAGTTTAAAATCACAACAGAATCACCTAAATTCTAGAGACTTGTGAATCTGTATTTAAGGGAAAAACAGTATACAGCTGATTTGTCTTCCTTTGAAAAGAATTAACAAAAGTGCAGACCAAGAGGTTGTTCTGCTCTGACACCAGAAAGAACGTTTTATTCAAGTTCCTCTGGGACTGACAAGAACCAGAAGCTAAAACAGAGCAGAAGAGGTTCAGGTTGTGCTTTATTTACGCCTTGAAGGGAATCTGAGAAGGAGGAACAGGAATAGGTAAGCGTCATTACGCCCCTGCTACCCACACTCTGGGACTTGGCCCCACCCACTGGCATCTCTGGATGTGTGTGTTCACACCTCAGATACACCAGTCATTAGACTATCTCCCACAAGTCAGGCTCGGTGGCTTAGCCTGTAATCCCAGTGCTTTGGGAGGCTGAGGTGAGTGGATTGCCTGAGCCCGCGGGTTCGAGACCCACCTGGGCAGCAAGACCTCATCTCTACAATAAATCAAAAAATCAGCCAGGCGTGGTAGCGCATGCCTGTAATTCTGGCTACTTAGAAGGCTGAGGCGGAAGGATCGCGGAGCCCAGCAGGTCGAGGCTGCAGTGGCCAGGAGCGGCCACTGCACTCCAGTCTGGGTGACACAGAGTGAGACTCCAACTCAAAAAAAAAAAAAAAGAATATATCTCTCACAAAAGCTGGTTCAAATCTGCTTCTCATTAGTAAATCTGTGCTTGTTTATATAATACACATTTTAAATAATATAGGGTAACAAGTATTTGAGTAGCGTTCACATTGTATTAGGTAGTAGGAGTTATCGAGAGTGCTTAAAGTATAGGAGAAGGTTTTTATGCAAACATGATTCCACTTTCCATCAGAGACTGGGACATCCGAGAATTTTATTATCTGTAGGGGATTCTGGAACTAATCTCCCCCAGATACCGAGAGCTGTACACAAAGCAGCCAGATAAATGTAATGATGACTGTGTCTCAAAGAAACCTTTTAAACATAACTAAAGAACACAAAAGTAAGCTGAGCAAAAAGAAAAACTTACACATCCCTAGACAGAAAGATAACATCACTGAGATATTCATCCTACCAAATGTGTATATTTGATGCAATCTCAATGAAAATATATTTTTAAGTCTAGACAAGATTATTCTAAATACTATAATATGCCAAAATAAATAAGTGTGACCAGGAAAACTCTAACAAAGCGTGAAGACTGGTCTTACTGGATCCTGAAACACATTATAAATTCTCAGTCATTAAAACCATGGGCAATTAGCAGCAGAATACATATACAGAACACACCAGAGCTTCCGCTTCCAGACAGAGCAGCACAGCTAGGTTAGCTTCCTCCCCACACAGTGAGACGTTCGCAACAAAATCCAATATAAACTATCTGGAAATGGTGGAGAGAGACAAGACCAGACACCAGGTAAAGGGGGGCCCCGAAACTAAGCAACCGCACAGATGGGGCCACATATCTGTCAGTGCACCCCAGGGCACCCCAACTCCTGCAAGGCAGGAATGCCGCACTTTTTTTTTTTTTTTTAAGAAAGCTGTAGTTTTACTCCCTTAGAACCTGAGGATGGTCGAAAAACGACAAGAGACATCCTGTAAAGGGAGGGATCAAAACATGAGTGCAAGGTCTGCCAAGCCTCAACCTTGCTCAGAAATGTTTTAAAACCTCAGTACACAGAGAGAGGCACCATGATTCCAGAGGACTCACTGTTTGTTTTTCCTAATTCTCTAATGTTTATGGGTCTGTTTGTTTCATATTCATTGTGGTCATTATTTCAGCAAAATATTTTTCTAACAATTGACCAGCTGATCCAATATGCATATAGAAAAACTGAAAATCCGAGTAGCAAAACAATCTTGAAAAAGAAGAATCATTGACACACAGATGAATCTCGGAAATAATTTGCTGATCAAGAGAAGTTGAATGTAAGAGACCAGACAGCAAATGATTCCACTTGTATCAAGTTCTACAAGTGGTAAAATAAAGTCAAAGTGAAAAATCTCAAACAGTGGTTGCCTTCAGAAGAACCACTGGGGAAGAGCAAGAAGGAACTTCCTGAGTAACTGTATGTTCTGCATTTTTTGGTATATACACTTGTCAAACCTAACTGAAGCGAACACATGATCTGTACACTTCAGCATATGAAAATTTTACCATAAAAAAAGAACGAACACAAATGAACTCAAAGAAAGAAGTAAACATCAAAACAAAAATCCCAACAAAAAAATGTGTATGGTAATTTAGCATACCATAAAGAAGGCTCTCTTGTGAACTGATACAGAAGTTCTCCAAAATTATCACCATAAGTGAAGAAATAAAGGACAGCCTGGTAACAGCATGCCACTCTCTATAAAAAGGACAGACAGATCTGTGAGTGTTCACACAAGCAGAGAAACATCATGAAGTGTTGTGTGAGGTGGAGCGTGGGCAGATGTTGAGACGTTTGTATGCATGCATGTGCGTGCACATATATAAACACAGATACTTTTAAACCCTGTGACTAGACTGCCTTTCACCAAAATCTTAAAAATGAAACAAAGGGCCAGGTGCAGTGGCTCAAGTCTGTAATCCTAGCACTCTGGGAGGCTGAGGTGAGGGGACTGCCTGAGCCACGGGTTCGAGAACAGCCCAGGGAACTTGGCAAGACCTCATCTCTACAATAAATCAAAAAATTGGCTGGGCATGGTAGCACACACGTGTAGTTCTGGCTACTTAGAAGGGTGAGACAGAATGACTGCCAGAGCCCAGCAAGTCGCTGCTGGGGTGGCCGTGAACGTGCCACTGCATTCCAGCCTGGGCAATGGCATGAAACTCCAACTCAAAAAAAAAAAGAAAAAAGAAACAAAAGAAAATACAGCTACAGAATTAGACACAAGTCAGTACTGCTCAACAGTTCTGTAGAAGATCACTTCTGACCTCAGGTCACCGAGCACAGAAGCGCAGGTCTTCCACACCGTGATCCTTGCACACAAACTGTCGTCACACAGGAGACGGGGAGAGGCGATGGCCTGCCTGAGCCCATGGCTCTTTCTGGCACGATACCTTGCACCAACCTTCCTCCACGTGCATCTATGTCTACTGCCCCTTCCTAGCCTCCTGTGGACAGGATTACTCTTCCTTACTCAGTGCACCTAGCAAGCAAGATCAACATCTAAGATGCCACTTGCAGGGTTCAATCAGGCAGTTTTATCCTCCACTCTTTCTCAGACTAACCCTTTCCAGCCCACTGCTTGCACCCACGAGACCCTGCACTTCCAAAGGCCTTACACACCACCAGCAAACACGGATACATGCTGACTCAGTACTGTCATAGCACAAAAACTGGATTAAAGTATTCCTAGTCCCACTAAATCATAACATTTTTAGTCATGTTGGGGAAAAATTGGCCCTCTTAGGTTTTCAGTTCGTTAACAAGGAGTGCAAATTACAACTGCCGAGTATGGCCAGTTTCTAAACAATATTAGGAAACAAATGCAAGAAAAAGGTTTAAAGCAGCATGGATTATAACAACTACATAAAAGGTCTTTTACACATCCCATACGTTTTAACAAATCTAAAGTTATCGACTTTAAAATGCAACACTATATAACATTTAAAAGGAAT